TGTGGTCAGCGCAGTCGTGGTACGATCTGATGCCGGATACAAAGGCCCTTGTAGCTGACTGCTGCTGCCCCAGGGCTGGACCACCCCTTCCAATGAGAGGCGTAGGGCCTTGTGCACACTGGACTGCTCCGGTCTGGACACGTGGCCCATGCTTCCTGCCTGTGCTTTAGCTCACAGGGGTCCTGGTGTGGGCTCTGACTGGGGACACCTGCCGGCCTGTCCTGCTGGGTCTGCTCTCAGGTCGCGGGTCCCTTCTCACGGTACTGGGCCTCTCAGCTGGCCCCAAGTCAGCACGCCTCCCTTGTGCCAGGGAAACTGGGTCTGTTTCAAGGACAGATGCTGAATTCCATCCTGAAAAATTAAAAAATGGCCCACAGAGAGATGTTTTTCTCTCGGTTTGATCTCTGGACCAGATGCTCACGAGTCTGCGCCTGCCAGCCCGAAAGGACAGAGGCCCACAGTCCTCTGGCTGCCGATGAAATATTCAGGTTGACGGTTCAAGCTGGTGGCATTTCCTTCCCTGTCCCTGGCGCTCGTATAAAGAGGAGACGGAGCTGGTGGTGAGCGCACAGGCTGCACGGCCGAGGCGGTGGACGCAGCAAGGTACCGTGCGGAGAGCAGGCCCAGCCTTGGTGGATGGGCTGGCGGGGGGCTGGGCGCGGGCACCATTTCAGGTCAACGTGAAGTGCAGTCAACCAACATGGGCAGCTCAGCTCAGAACTCAGCTCAGAGCAATGGTTTTAACTGCTGAAAGTGGGAGGGCTATAAAAACGTGAGTGCTCCCAAGGGTGCTCAGAGGGGCTGCAGAAGCAGCTGGGTGCTGGTGGAGAGGTGGGCTGCAGAAGCAGCTGGGTGCTGGTGGAGAGGTGGGCTGCAGAAGCAGCTGGGTGCTGGTGGAGGGGGGGGTCTCATGTTCCGGGAGCTGGTGGAGAAGGGGGAGCTTATCTTCTGTGTTTCTCCTGCTACAGGTGTACTGAGTGCATCCCTGGTCTGTGTCTGGGGACGATGCGGGCCTGGGTGGTGCGGGGCCTGGCCCTCTGCTTCCTGCTGGCCACGCTCACAGGTAAGAGGACAGGACTCAGAGTGGGGACTCCCAACAGCCTCCCGGTGCCTCCCTGCCCATCCCGTCCTGCAGGGCCTTCCCGGGGTAATGGCTGTGTTCTTCCTCTGCAGGGGCCAAGCCTGTGCAGGAGACAGCAGGTAGGCAATCAATTGATCGATCAGTGCAGGTAGTGGGGGTGGAGTCTGTGTGCTTCAGTTACGGGAGTCTGGGTTCTGCTGAGACCAGAGGACAAGCGTCCCCTACCGGTGGGAGCAATCCGTGTGGCGGGGCTGGGGCCTCGCACGCCAGGGCAGGTCAGCCCTGAGCCCTGCTTCCCGTGTCAGGTGGTTGAACCTCATTTTGACTAGCTCCTGCCCAGACTTGGGCTCAAACCCTGGGGTCTACCCACAAGCCTTCAGCACAGCTTAGAATTATCCAGCGTTCTTTGCTCTCTGAAACCCCATCAGGACGCTGCCCAGACTCCCCTCCCCGCACACCTGCCTCTGCTCAGCACTGCGGCCTCTGAGTCAGGCAGGGCTCCTCTCCTTCCATTCCCCTTCATCCTCCTCCCCCTCCCCGTCCTCCTCCTCCCCCCTCCCCGTCCTCCTCCTCCCCCCTCCCCCCTCCTCCTCTTCTTCCTCCTCCTCCCCCTCCCCCTCCTCCTCTTCCTCCCCCTCCCCCTCCTCCTTCTCACTGCCCGGGCCGGCAGAGACACTCAGGATCTCCCAGGCTCTGCGCCACAGTGCTGCTCAGCGCCACCTTCTTCCTGCCCGACTCCATGGGGGTGTTCTGTGGGGGAGCTGAGTGGGGTGGCCTCTGAGGCGTCTTGTGTCTTTCAGATCCCTACGCACAGCCCCCGGCCATGCCGTACTGGCCTTTCTCCACCTCTGACTTCTGGAACTACGTGCAGTACTTTCAGACCGTGGGTGCCTACCCGCAGCTGGAGGGCTTGGCGCGCACCTTCTTTGCCCACTTCCCCCTGGGGAGCACCCTGGGCTTCAATGTTCCCTACCGGGAGGACTGAGCAGGGTCCAGCCTGGCACCTGCGTGCCCCCTCCCCGGGCCTGGTTAACAAGACACAGTAGCTCCACCCAGCAAGCGCCCGACTGAAGACAACGACAGTGAGGGCTTCTTTCAATAAAGAGCCGCTTCTCACCTCTCCTTTACCGTGCGCAAAGTCGTGTGGCTTTAATCCCGTCACCACTGGATACCCGTTAATAAATGTGCATGATGTCCATCCGTGGGAGTTGTGAACAACCCCTCCCCTGTGTCACCTCATGATCTACTTCTCGCGATGACTCAGGGGCTATGCCCAGGTTGGAGTGCAGGTGAGGAAACTGAGGCAGCAGCACCAAAAGGGCCACAGTGTGAAGGCAATAGGCCCAGCCCACTCCGTCCCTCGCCAGGCCACTCAGCCAGACAGCAGCCGCTCTGGGTTAGCGCTAGGTCCATGTTTCCCAAACCACAGGAAGTGAGGACGTCAGCTGGCCATCTGTGTGGGCTTTGGGGGGAAGGTGCCCGTCCTGGGGGCTGTGGGAAGAAGGGGGCTGCTGCCCCGGGAAGTCCTGAGGGAGTGGACAGATGGGCAGGCCGTGCGGATGCATCCCAGGCTCCACCTCTGCAGGCGGTGTGCACAGGAAGGTGTGCAAGGCGGGAGCAGGCTGGCTGTAGTGCCAGCCCAGGGCTGCGGAGGGGCTGGCCACGGCCCCTCCCTGCGTCTCACGGCGGCACGCTGGCATGGTGAGCAGCGATGGCTTATCTCTCTGCTATGGTGCACTGTCCATCCTGACGGGCAGGCTTGGGCTCCTCTTCCTCTCATCCTGGCTCCAGCCCATCTCTCTGCACCTCCCCCCCCCCCCGCCCCCCCTCCCGGCCAGCAGCCCAATTCCCAAGCCCTCCAATTTGGGATGAGAAATGAGAAGGAAGGCTATTCAGCTCCATCACAGTTACAAGTCCACTGCTGCAAAAGGCAGGGTTCAATACCCAATGACACTAGAGAATGCGAATGCTCAGACTAGGTCTTTTGTCTCTGTCTGGAAGAAGGAAGCCACAGACACAGGAAGAACTATGGAAGGAAAAGATTAGCTGAGCTCCGATAGACCTGGGGTGCCTTGTACAGGGCTTAGTAAGGTGTCTAGGAGAAAGCGGAGAGCCGTGCCCATGAAGACCACAGACCCAACCGGATGCCCGATCCAGTGCCCACTTCTGGGGGCCAATCCAGGGGCTGTGATGCCATGCCAGAGGCTGCACCGTGACTGCTCCAAGGCCATGGTGAGGGACGCGCGGGGTCTGCACGCAGCACTGCTCAGGGTCACGTGATGACGTGCGGGGGTCTGCACGCAGCTCTGCTCAGGGTCACGTGATGACATGCGGGGGTCTGCACGCAGCTCTGCTCAGGGCCTTTTTAGTCTGGTTTAGTACCGGGGGGGGGGGTACTGACAGTCAGGGAGTCTCGGGTGGCGGGTGGACATGACTAAGGAGGTCCTCACTGTCCCGGCCTCCCGGGGTCAGTGAGCGGCATCACCTGACTGGGGTGCAGGACCAGGCCGCTGATCGCTGCGGGAACAATCAGACCGTGCACGGGTGCTCTGCTCACACGGAGACTGTCCCAGGCTGGTCCAAGCGCCTCTGACCTCCCAGGCTTCCCGTGGCCTCCCTGGGACTCCCTGGCCTCTCCCGGCCTCCCTGGGCCTCCCCTGGCCTCCCCTGGGCCTCCCCCGGCCTCCCTGGCTTCCCCCGGCCTCCCCAGGCTTCCCTCGGCCTCCCCCGGCTTCCTCTGGCCTCCCCGGCTTCCCCCGGCCTCCCCGGCTTCCCCCGGCCTCCCCAGGCTTCCCCCGGCCTCCCCAGGCTTCCCCCGGCCTCCCCAGGTTTCCCTCGGCCTCCCCCGGCCTCCCCCGGCCTCCCAGTCCTCCCCGGCTTCCCCCGGCCTCGCCAGGCTTCCCTTGGCCTCTCCCGGCCTCCCAGGCCTCCCCAGGCTTCCCCCGGCCTCCCCTGGCCTCCCCAGGCTTCCCTCGGCCTCCCCAGCTTCTCCCTGCCTCCCCGGCTTCCCCCGGCCTCCCCCGGCCTCCCCGGCTTCCCCCGGCCTCCCCGGGTTCCCCCGGCTTCCCCAGGCTTCCCTCAGCCTTCCCTGGCCTCCCCAGGCTTCCCCATGCCTCCCCTGGCCTCTCCGGCTTCCCCCTGCCTCCCAGGCCTCTCCGGCTTCCCCCGGCCTCCCCTGGCCCCTCGGCCTCCCTCCTGGCCCTTCTCCGCCCTCCCCGGGCCGCCTTTCCCCTTTACTTCTCTACCCTGTTTTTTCTCATTCACATTCTTTTTAAAAAATGGCAAAACCACCGAGTTTTGCCCAGTTCCGGATCTCAGGTGTGAATTTGGAGGGGGCGCGTGCAAGCCCCGCCCCGCGCACAGCCCCGCCCCGCGCAAGCCCCGCCCCGCGCAAGCCCCGCCCCGCGCAAGCCCCGCCCCGTGCAAGCCCCGCCCCGTGCAAGCCCCGCCCAGCGCCCCGCCTTGTCCCTAGCACAGTGTTGCCCTGTCGCCCCGCCCCGTGCAAGCCCCGCCCCGTGCAAGCCCCGCCCCGTGCGCAGCCCCGCCCCGTGCGCAGCCCCGCCCCGTGCGCAGCCCCGCCCCGTGCGCAGCCCCGCCCCGTGCGCAGCCCCGCCCCGTGCGCAGCCCCGCCCCGTGCGCAGCCCCGCCCCGTGCAAGCCGCGCCCTGTCGCCCCGCCCCGTCCCGCCGCTCCGGGCTCGGTCCGCGGTCTGTGGTTCCCTCTCGCGGCCGAGCCGCCTTTCCAGCGCGGGCCTCGCGCGAGGGTGTCCAGACCCTGAACCCGCGCCCCGGCGCCCGTGATCGCGCACGCGGCGGGAGGGGGATGGGGGGGAGCGGGCTCTACGGCGCCGATGCGCAGGCGCCCGACGAGGGCGGCAGGCGGGAGGGGGCGGGGGAGGGAAACTAGGGCGTCACCATCGAGTCGCGGTCCTCCAGCGTCTAGACGTGACGGGCGCGTGCGCCGGAAGTGCACGCAGCAGGCCGGAAGTGAGAGCTGCGTCGCGGACCCGAGATGAAACCCGCCGTGGACGAGATGTTCCCTGAGGGCGCCGGGCCCTACGTGGACCTGGACGAGGTGGGGCGGGCGGCCGGCGCGCGGGAGCGGGGGCGGAGCCGGGAGCCCCGCCGTGCGGCCGGGCCCGTGGGCAGGGGCGCGCCTCGGCTCCCCGGGGCGGCGGGCGGGGCGGGGCTGCGCCGGGCTCCTCCCTCCCCTCCCCTCCGTCCCCCTCCCTCCCCTCCCCTCCTCCGGACTCCTCCCTCCCCTCCGTCCCCCTCCCTCCCCTCCGCCGGGCTCCTCCCTCCCCTCCCCTCCGTCCCCCTCCCTCCCCTCCCCTCCGCCGGGCTCCTCCCTCCCCTCCCCTCCGTCCCCCTCCCTCCCCTCCCCTCCGCCGGACTCCTCCCTCCCCTCCCCTCCGTCCCCCTCCCTCCCCTCCCCTCCTCCGGACTCCTCCCTCCCCTCCCTCCCCTCCCTCCCCTCCGCCGGACTCCTCCCTCCCCTCCGCCGGACTCCTCTCTCCCCTCCGCCGGACTCCTCCCTCCCCTCCAGACTCCTCCCTCCCCTCCCCTCCCCTCCAGACTCCTCCCTCCCCTCCCCTCCTCCGGACTCCTCCCTCCCCTCCCCTCCCCTCCAGACTCCTCCCTCCCCTCCCCTCCTCCGGACTCCTCCCTCCCCTCCCCTCCGTCCCCCTCCCTCCCCTCCCCTCGGACTCCTCCCTCCCCTCCCCTCCGCCGGACTCCTCCCTCCCCTCCCCTCCCCTCCCTCCCCTCCGCCGGACTCCTCCCTCCCCTCCCCTCCCCTCCCTCCCCTCCCCTCCCCTCCCCTCCGCCGGGCTCCTCCCTCCCCTCCCCTCCGTCCCCCTCCCTCCCCTCCCCTCGGACTCCTCCCTCCCCTCCCCTCCGCCGGACTCCTCCCTCCCCTCCCCTCCCCTCCCCTCCGCCGGACTCCTCCCTCCCCTCCCCTCCCCTCCCCTCCGCCGGACTCCTCCCTCCCCTCCGCCGGGCTCCTCCCTCCCCTCCCCTCCGTCCCCTCCGCCGGACTCCTCCCTCCCCTCCCTCCCCTCCCTCCCCTCCGCCGGACTCCTCCCTCCCCTCCAGACTCCTCCCTCCCCTCCCCTCCCCTCCAGACTCCTCCCTCCCCTCCCCTCCCCTCCAGACTCCTCCCTCCCCTCCCCTCCCCTCCAGACTCCTCCCTCCCCTCCCCTCCTCCGGACTCCTCCCTCCCCTCCCCTCCCCTCCGGACTCCTCCCTCCCCTCCCCTTCCCTCCGGACTCCTCCCTCCCCTCCCTCCCCTCCGCCGGGCTCCTCCCTCCCCTCCCCTCCCCGCCGGACTCCTCCCTCCCCTCCCTCCCCTCCGCCGGACTCCTCCCTCCCCTCCCTCCCCTCCCTCCCCTCCCTCCCCTCCGCCGGACTCCTCCCTCCCCTCCCCTCCGCCGGACTCCTCCCTCCCCTCCCTCCCCTCCCTCCCCTCCCCTCCAGACTCCTCCCTCCCCTCCCCTCCCCTCCAGACTCCTCCCTCCCCTCCCCTCCTCCGGACTCCTCCCTCCCCTCCCCTCCCCTCCGGACTCCTCCCTCCCCTCCCCTCCCCTCCGGACTCCTCCCTCCCCTCCCTCCCCTCCGCCGGACTCCTCCCTCCCCTCCCTCCCCTCCGCCGGGCTCCTCCCTCCCCTCCCCTCCCCGCCGGACTCCTCCCTCCCCTCCCTCCCCTCCGCCGGACTCCTCCCTCCCCTCCCTCCCCTCCCTCCCCTCCGCCGGACTCCTCCCTCCCCTCCAGACTCCTCCCTCCCCTCCCCTCCCCTCCGGACTCCTCCCTCCCCTCCCCTCCGCCGGACTCCTCCCTCCCCTCCAGACTCCTCCCTCCCCTCCCCTCCGCCGGACTCCTCCCTCCCCTCTCCTCCTCCGGACTCCTCCCTCCCCTCCCCTCCCCTCCGGACTCCTCCCTCCCCTCCCTCCCCTCCGCCGGACTCCTCCCTCCCCTCCCTCCCCTCCGCCGGGCTCCTCCCTCCCCTCCCCTCCCCTCCGGACTCCTCCCTCCCCTCCCCTCCGCCGGACTCCTCCCTCCCCTCCCCTCCGCCGGACTCCTCCCTCCCCTCCAGACTCCTCCCTCCCCTCCCCTCTCCTCCAGACTCCTCCCTCCCCTCCCCTCCCCTCCGGACTCCTCCCTCCCCTCCCCTCCGCCGGACTCCTCCCTCCCCTCCAGACTCCTCCCTCCCCTCCCCTCCGCCGGGCTCCTCCCTCCCCTCCCCTCCCCGCCGGACTCCTCCCTCCCCTCCCCTCCTCTCCGGACTCCTCCCTCCCCTCCCCTCCTCTCCGGACTCCTCCCTCCCCTCCCCTCCGCCGGACTCCTCCCTCCCCTCCCCTCCGCCGGACTCCTCCCTCCCCTCCCCTCCTCTCCGGACTCCTCCCTCCCCTCCCCTCCTCTCCGGACTCCTCCCTCCCCTCCCCTCCGCCGGACTCCTCCCTCCCCTCCCCTCCCCTCCACCGGACTCCTCCCTCCCCTCCTCTCCGGACTCCTCCCTCCCCTCCGCCGGAGTCCTCCCTCCCCTCCCCTCCTCTCCGGACTCCTCCCTCCCCTCCCCTCCGCCGGACTCCTCCCTCCCCTCCTCTCCGGACTCCTCCCTCCCCTCCCCTCCGCCGGACTCCTCCCTCCCCTCCCCTCCGCCGGACTCCTCCCTCCCCTCCCCTCCCCTCCGGACTCCTCCCTCCCCTCCCCTCCCCTCCCCTCCGGACTCCTCCCTCCCCTCCTCTCCAGACTCCTCCCTCCCCTCCGCCGGACTCCTCCCTCCCCTCCGCCGGACACCTCCCTCCCCTCCCCTCTCCTCCGCCGGACTCCTCCCTCTCCTCCCCTCCGCCGGACTCCTCCCTCCCCTCCGTCCCCTCCCTCCCCTCCGCCGGGCTCCTCCCTCCCCTCCCCTCCGCCGGACTTCTCCCTCCCCTCCCTCCCCTCCCCTCTGTCCCCTCCCCTCTGTCCCCTCCTCCCCCGCACCCCCTCCTTCCCCGTGCCTCCTCCCCCGCGCCCCCCTCCTCCCCCGTGCCCCTCCTCCTCCCCCGTGCCCCCCTCCTCCCCCGTGCCCCCTCCTCCCCCGGGCCCCCCTCCTCCCTCGCGCCCCCCTCCTCCCCCGTGCCCCCCTCCTCCCCCGTGCTCCCCTCCTCCCCCGTGCCCCCCTCCTCCCCTGTGCCCCTCGTCCCCCGCGCGCCCCTCCTCCCCTTCCACCGGCTCTAGGGCCGGCCGCCTCTGCCCTCCGGGAGTCGCAGGGAGTCAGCTGGCACCCCCGAAGCCCACAGTTCTGCTCGGGCGCCCTGCCCCCACCCCATCCCGGAGCAAGGTTCCCAGAAGGAAGAAGGAGGGTCTGGCAGTTGCTGTCTGTAGTACAGGTCGTGTGCCGGCACAGAAGGACTCATGGGCCATCATGAAGACACCTGAGTCCAGCTGGGAGAGTCTGTCTGCCTGGCTCTTTGGGGGCCTTTTCACAGCTTAGGGTACAGAGTTGCCGCACCTCTTGGTAGGCGGAGAGGCAGGTTGCACACACCAAGTGTAACAAAGCTGGGGGTGTCCTGTACCCGTGTCTCGGGGCTTTGGGAGGCCCAGCGCGTCGCAGGAGAGCTCCCCTGCAGCCAAACGCTGAAGGCGGTGCTGGTGCCTTGAGGAAGCCCCGAGTGCTTGTTCAGGTTCCACAGGATTGAGAGACGAGTCCAGCCATGGAGTGATCTAACCTGGTAGGCTCCGACCTCACTCCCGAGGCCCTTGTAGTGAACCCAGGCTTCACAGCCCTGTTGTAAGGCCCCCCAGCGGGTGAGAGGGGGTCCCCTGGAGTCTGGTGCTGAGAGGGAAACCCTGGTTTCCCCCTGAGGGCTTAGGGGCTGGATTGTGGGAGGTTGTAGAAAAGGGAGATTGGAGACTTGAAGGTGGAAGCCAGGAGACACAATCCACAATATGAGCAGAACCTGCGTGGCTCTCTGTGGGAACTGAGCAGGGGGCAGCCAGGAAAGGGAGCACAGCAGAGCTGGAGACCCAGTGAGGGGGGCTGGGCAGCCTTGGAGCCACAGAGCCCGCTGTCCGTCCAGCCGCCACCAGAGCCTCGACTGCACTGTCTCTGGTGACTAAAGAATGCACAAAGTCGTGAGTGCCTCAGGTCACCCTGCTTGTGATGTGGCCTGGTTTTACCTTTGGTGTAGAGTTGTGCCAGTGTCAGGTCCCTCAGGGCACCCCCTCCCCTCCCAAGAGAGCATGGAGAGGTCCAGACACCCAGCTCCATGCGGTGTTGCTTTCAGCCTCTGTGGTGATGTCCAGGAGGGGACTGGAGACTTCTAGCAGAGCGTGACATTAGGGCAATGACGGGTTTCTTTTTAAAAAGCACGAGAGAATCAAGCAACTCCAGACCTCAAGCGACCTTAAAAAGAGTTTGTTTGAGTTCCTCCTTCATGCTCACTTCTTTGATTCCCGACCGAGCACTTTTCCTGTCACTGGCTTCCTGTTCCATCAAGGTGGTGGATGCTGTGATGAGCTTCCACCTGCTCTTGGAAGGAAGAGCCCTGCTGGCATAACCTTGCCTTTCCTTCCCTAGGCTGGGGGCAGCACCGGGCTCCTGATGGACTTGGCGGCCAATGAAAAGGCAGTGCACGCAGACTTCTTCAATGGTAAGGGGGCGGGGACTCAGGCCAGGCTGAGCCTGAGAGTTTCCTCTGCAAGTTAATGCAACGGGACAGCTTTGTGACATGAATAATTTGGATCAGGGGACAGGGAAGGCCTGGCCCTGGGCTGTCCTCCCAGCCCGGAGCCGTGCCTGCAGTGAACTCATTGGTTAGTACAGGTGGTGAGCACATATTTTCAGGAGGAAAACAGCATGCAGTTGCCCCCATCTCGCCCCCCAGTGGCTGACGCGAGTACTTGAGTTAGCCTCCTGAGCAAGTAGCTCGTCTGGTGCTCTCCTCCCCACGCGCTTCTGGTTGTCCCTGTCCTTTGCCAGCCCGCGGCCCACAGCCCGCACTCACTCACTCACTGACCTGGATTCCTGTGCCCTCAACGGCCTTTGCAGAGTACCAATCATGCCTCAGCCCTTCCCCGACTCTGAAGTCAGGTTGTAGGGTGCACTGCCATTTTGTATTTGAAGGTTACATTGAGAAAACTCTCTGTCTGAAGTTTCTAGATAGGTTAATGATATTCTTCTGCTTTCCGGATTTCTGAAGGCTTGTATCTTCAGTGACTAACTCATGTAGGGTTTCAACAAGTGGGAAGGTAACACAGGCTTCCTGCTCAGAAGAGAGTGTTTCTCTCTGTTTTCTTCCTTTTTAAATTGTGTTGGTAGCGAGTGTTTCTCTCTGTTTTCTTCCTTTTATAATTGTGTGGATGTTTTCTCTAGAAAGAGCTTCCTTTACTAATGACTTCCACCTGCAAAACGTTGGTTTCTAATTTACCAAGAACCCTGAAGTCCTGAGCCCAGGCTGATTTGTCTGGCACACTGTTGTCCAAGTGGAAAAGCTAGCTGCCAAATAACTAGGTCTCCATCTTCTCTGGGGATCTGACAGAAACATCCTGGCTGCTCCCAGCTGCTGTCAGAACTGGGTGTGACCCTGCTCGCACTGAGTGACCCTTTTTCTGAGTTCTGTCTAAGGGAATCTGGTTTAGGGCACTGGCTGTTTCCCCAAGGCGCCTTTTTGAGACCACCACTTACAGGGCATGTTGGGAGCTACCTTAACGGGCCCCATTGGCTCAACCATGTTGATGGGCTTCTTCAGAGCCACACTTGCCCTTTGCCAGCCCATAGACTACAGAGATCAGCCGTGCTCCATGTTCCTGCACATGGTTTCTAGAGACAGTCGGGTCACTGTGATGAGAGGGGTCCCGAGACCCAGCCTGACCTGTCCAGTGAGCACCTAGCAGGGAGTCCCGAGACCCAGCCTGACCTGTCCAGTGAGCACCTAGCAGGGAGCCCTGAGACCCATCCTGACCTGTCCAGTGAGCACCTAGCAGGGAGTCCTGAGACCCAGCCTGACCTGTCCAGTGAGCATCTAGCAGCCCCAAGACCCAGCCTGACCTGTCCAGTGAGCATCTAGCAGAGCCCCGAGACCCAGCCTGACCTGTCCAGTGATCACCTAGCAGGGAGTCCTGAGACCCAGCCTGACCTGTCCAGTGAGCATCTAGCAGCCCCAAGACCCAGCCTGACCTGTCCAGTGAGCATCTAGCAGGGAGCCCTGAGACCCAGCCTGACCTGTCCAGTGAGCACCTAGCAGGGAGTCCCGAGACCCAGCCTGACCTGTCCAGTGATCACCTAGCAGGGAGTCCTGAGACCCAGCCTGACCTGTCCAGTGAGCACCTAGCAGTGAGTCCTGAGACCCAGCCTGACCTGTCCAGTGAGCATCTAGCAGCCCCGAGACCCGGCCGACTTGTCCACTGAGCATCTAGCAGGGCCCCGAGACCCAGCCTGACCTGTCCAGTGAGCACCTAGCAGGGAGTCCTGAGACTCAGCCTGACCTGTCCAGTGAGCATCTAGCAGCCCCGAGACCCAGCCTGACCTGTCCAGTGAGCATGTAGCAGGGAGTCCCGAGACCCAGCCTGACCTGTCCAGTGAGCATCTAGCAGCCCCGAGACCCAGCCTGACCTATCCAGTGAGCATCTAGCAGGGAGCTCTGAGACCCAGCCTGACTTGTCCAGTGAGCATCTAGCAGGGAGTCCCGAGACCCAGCCTGACCTGTCCAGTGAGCATCTAGCAGGGAGCCCCGAGACCCAGCCTAAACTGTCCAGTGAGCACCTATCAGGGAGCCCTGAGACCCAGCCTGACCTGTCCAGTGAGCACCTAACAGAGCCCCGAGATCCGGCCGACCTGTCCAGTGAGCACCTAACAGAGCCCCGAGACCCGGCCGACCTGTCCAGTGAGCACGTAGCCACACTACCAGTCAGCACGATTCTCCTGTGAGCCCTGCTGGATAGTGAAGGATGCAGAAGTCCTCTGTCCCTGCTCTTGCCCGTCTGCCCACTGAGCTCAGTCTGCCCACAGACTGTCCCCAGTGCTCAGGAAGCCCGTCCCCAGGAGAGGCCTCATGAGTGTCTTCAGGGCTTTCCAGGAACTTTTGTTTGGCCAAACTAGTGGGCTTTGGGGGCTGTGACCTAGTGGGTAGTGGGTTCTAGCCCTAACCATCCCTCACTGTCTTCTTTCCTGTTTTTCAACGTAGTGGAGGGTGCAGGCAGTGTGGCAGTCAGGAACAGGATGGTAATGGGAGAGCAGGTGGGCGGGTGCCTCACAGGAGGCGTCTCTGGAGGAGATCCAGGTCCAGGTGTGAAGAGGTTCACTGGGGAGCGGGGTTGGGCAGGGGACGGTGAGAGGAGGCAGGAGGAACTCGAGCAGCAGCCCCTCACAGTGAGATGATGAGCAGCATCTCTGCATGGCCAGCTTTGTGCTGCTGCTGGGGCTCTGCTTCTGGAAGTGCACGCTGCATGCAGGAAGCCCCCTCCCCGTGTTGCCGCCTGAGGACACGCTTCTGCATGTCCTCAGTGCACACAGGCCCGGGCCACAGGGCTGTGTGGGTTCTTTCTCTTCCAGTCCTGAATGGGAAGGTGTGTTGGTGTAAACAGAGGGGCAGCTCCCATGGCATGGTTGCCCAGTATGGCACCTCCCATGCCCGCTGGCCCAGCAGAAGGACAGGAGTGAGGCTCGGCTGAGTTTCCAGCTGTGCTGGTCCCGGCTCCCTTGGGAGCTGATCTTTGGTCCCATCCTTCTGCCACCTCCCTGTTGCTTCCACATCTAAGGCGCGAGCCTAGGTGCCCGTGTGTCCCTGTGCCTACAACACCCCTGGGTGCTTGTCTTCAGAATTGGCTTATGAATAAATACATAACAGTGTAGACAGCAGTGGCTTCATGAACTGCTCTGACACCTGTGAGCCCTGGTTGGGTGAAGCCAAGGGTCTGCTCTGGGGAGGTTCCTTCTTCACCCAGGAACCCTGATGCATGTTTTCCACTAGCACATAACTTGTTGTGAAGTAGTTTCCGCAGCGACTTCCCCTGTGTGCCTTCTAACGTGTAATTTTGTGTATGCAGATTTTGAAGACCTCTTTGATGACGATGATGTCCAGTGAGACTGTCTGCTGTGCCTCGGCCACGGCCCTGTGACACATGGCGTGGGGACTCAGGACAGGGTCAGGTGGATTCAGAGACCGCTCGAGAATGATGGAAGAGCTGATCAGCTGACCACTTGGACAGGCCAGTCATGTCCCCCGGGACCAGCTTGTCCTTGTCTCAATTAAAAGAAAGCAATGCCATCACATGTAGGGTAACTCTAATTCTTGTACTTCTGGGTGGAAGTTGCACTCCCTGAGTGTGCCTGCACATGTGCGCACAATCATCAGCACCCTGAGAATCACATCTGTCGGCATAGCAGCATATTATCCACTGTTTTCCATAGCACTCTGGGGACACTGGCAGTGTGCGCTCTGGGTCAGCAGACATCTGCCATAACACCGAAGACCCAGCCCAGGGTCCTGTCCCTTCCTGTCCCTCCCAGTGTGGGCAGAGACTTGCTGCCCCGAGCGGGGGACTCATGCTTTCCTCCAGCCTCCCTAACAGCTGCCCAAGAATGGGATGGTGACTGAAAAATGTCTTCTCAGCCCAGGTCAGTAGTTGATGGTGGCTGTTAACAGGGTAAGGCTGTGCTTCTTCTCACAGGTGACTTCCTTTGAGCAGGAGCTGCCCAAGCCTTGGCTCCTCATTGGTAAACAAGGGTGCTGTGGGGCCTTGCTCTGGATCTCAGTTCTCCCTCAGGAAGTCATGGTCTGGGTGAAAACGGGCAAGCCCATGGACAGTGGCACAGTGGTCCCAGCTGAGGGCTGGTGAGCTTCACACCAGAGCTGTGATCCCAGAGGGGTAAAAATGGGCAAGCCCATGGATGGGTACGTAGTGAGGGCCTGGTAGATTCCTCCTCATCAGAGCTATGAGGCCAGAGGGCTTGTCTGGCCTTAGAATTGTAGGTCTGTGGTCTGGGCAGCTTTGGGAGTGGGCTGCAGGTGTGTGTGTGTGCGCGTGCGCGCCTGCACAGTGTGTGAGCAGGCTCCAGGACGCCTCTCTCCTCCATCACACAGTCCTCGCACCTCCCGTGGTTCTGGGATGCCAGGGCACAGGACGTCCACCTTTGGCCGTCTCGGTTTGTCAGCAGCTGGAAGTATCTTTAGCTTGGTGTCCCATCTGCCAACTCGTGCTTTCACAGCCTCAGGGCTGGTATCCCCTGGGGAGTGTGTCAGGCCCCACCCTCTAGCTGGTCCACCTGGCCATCCCTGGAGTGGAAGGGGTTTTTCCTACAGAAGGTAGGGAGCCGCAGAACCTGCTCCTCCCCACAGGGAGAGTGATGGCTTGTGTGGAGAATATTTCCTGTGACATGTGGTGTTCTGTCTCATGTGGAGCCTTTTGGTTTGGGGAATGATTGGAGAATACAAATGGCTTTAGTGGTTCAATCTGTGTTGGGAAAGACATAGTCCAGACCTCTGAAGGAAGTGCTTCCTTTCCCTGTCCTTGAACGCCTGCTTTTACCTCGTCTTCTCCCTGCTGGGGTGGTGCAGGCTTTGCACCCACCATTTGAGTGAGAAGAAATGAGGGCTTTTACCAGGGTTACAGGAAGCCACTAGAGAGGGGACACAAGCCTCTGTGTTCCTGAGCAGAGAAGCTGAGCCATCGTAGTCTTAAAGAAGTTTTTTGAAAGGGCCGTTATTGATTTTAGAACTTCTGCTGTGATTGTTGCCTAGAGCCCAAATGAGAACTACCAAGAAAAACATGCTGTAATAACAGTGCCTTTGTGCCTCATCCGGCCAGAGCTGAGCTGCCTTCTGACTGTCGAAGCTTGTCAGGCCTCAGGTTTCGGCTGCAGTAAAGGCTTCAAGCCCCTGACTGCCATCATACCCTCCCCAGGCTCCGACTCTGTGCTGAGCCAAGGCAAGCGATGAGGCTTCCCAGTGCTTAGTTTGGGATCACTTGGGGAGTGATGCATAAAAGCATACGTGATGAGCAAGGGACTGTGGCAATACTTAAGTCTTGCAGAGGACAGAAAGCCACTGCAGAGCGGGTGCCAGGTGTCCACCAGTGCCCAAGTGCCTTCTCGGAACCAGCTGCATTCAGGAGCAGGGCTGGCCAGGGCAAGGTGAGGCACAGCAGTCAGTCCTAGGTGGGGATGACTGGGAGCAGTGCTCAGAAGCCGTGGGCGCACCTGTGGCTCCTCACCCTTGCCATTTCCCGAGTTCCCAGCTGTGGGCACACCTGTGGCTCCTCACCCTTGCCATCCCCCGAGCTCCCAGCTATGGGCGCACCTGTGGCTCCTCACCCTTGCCATCCCCCGAGCTCCCAGCTGTGGGCGCACCTGTGGCTCCTCACCCTTGCCATCCCCCGAGCTCCCAGCTGTGGGCGCACCTGTGGCTCCTCACCCTTGCCATCCCCCGAGCTCCCAGCTATGGGTGCACCTGTGGCTCCTCACCCTTGCCATCCCCCGAGCTCCCAGCTGTGGGCGCACCTGTGGCTCCTCACCCTTGCCATCCCCGGAGCTCCCAGCTATGGGCACACCTGTGGCTCCTCACCCTTGCCATCCCCCGAGCTCCCAGCTATGGGCACACCTGTGGCTCCTCACCCTTGCCATCCCCCGAGCTCCCAGCTGTGGGCACACATGTGGCTCCGTACCCGTGGCCATCCCCGGAGCTCCCAGCTGTGGGCGCACCTGTGGCTCCTCACCCTTGCCATCCCCCGAGCTCCCAGCTGTGGGCACACGTGTGGCTCCTCACCCTTGCCATCCCCCGAGCTCCCAGCTATGGGCGCACGTGTGGTTCCTCACCCTTGCCATCCCCCGAGTTCCCAGCTGTGGGCACACCTGTGGCTCCTCACCCTTGCCATCCCCGGAGCTCCCAGCTGTGGGCGCACCTGTGGCTCCTCACCCTTGCCATCCCCTGAGCTCCCAGCTGTGGGCGCACCTGTGGCTCCTCACCCGTGGCAATCCCCCGAGCTCCCAGCTGTGGGCGCACGTGTGGCTCCGTACCCGTGGCCATACCCCGAGCTCCCAGCTGTGGGCGCACGTGTGGCTCCTCACCCTTGCCATCCCCCGAGCTCCCAGCTGTGGGCACACCTGTGGCTCCTCACCCTTGCCATCCCCCGAGCTCCCAGCTATGGGCGCACGTGTGGCTCCTCACCTTGCCATCCCTCGAGCTCCCAGCTGTGGGCGCACGTGTGGCTCCTCACCCTTGCCATCCCCCGAGCTCCCAGCTGTGGGCACACGTGTGGCTCCTCACCTTGCCATCCCCGGAGCGCCCAGCTGTGGGCGCACCTGTGGCTCCTCACCCGTGGCCATCCCTCGAGCTCCCAGCTATGGGCACACGTGTGGTTCCTCACCCTTGCCATCCCCGGAGCTCCCAGCTGTGGGCGCACGTGTGGCTCCTCACCCGTGGCCATCCCCCGAGCTCCCAGCTGTGGGCGCACGTGTGGCTCCGTACCTGTGGCCATCCCCCGAGCTCCCAGCTGTGGGCGCACGTGTGGCTCCGTACCTGTGGCCATCCCCCGAGCTCCCAGCTGTGGGCGCACGTGTGGCTCCGTACCTGTGGCCATCCCCCGAGCTCCCAGCTATCGGCACACCTGTGGCTCCTCACCTTGCCATCCCCCGAGCTCCCAGCTATCGGCACACCTGTGGCTCCTCACCTTGCCATCCCCCGAGCTCCCAGCTGTGGGCGCACCTGTGGCTCCTCACCCTTGCCATCCCCCGAGCTCCCAGCTGTGGGCGCACCTGTGGCTCCTCACCCTTGCCATCCCCCGAGCTCCCAGCTGTGGGTGCACGTGTGGCTCCTCACCCGTGGCCATCCCCCGAGCTCCCAGCTATGGGCGCACGTGTGGCTCCTCACCCTTGCCATCCCCTGAGCTCCCAGCTGTGGGTGCACATGTGGCTCCTCACCCTTGCCATCCCCCGAGCTCCCAGCTGTGGGCGCACGTGTGGTTCCTCACCCTTGCCATCCCCAGAGCTCCCAGCTGTGGGCACACGTGTGGCTCCGTACCCGTGGCCATCCCCCGAGCTCCCAGCTGTGGGCGCACCTGTGGCTCCTCACCCTTGCCATCCCCCGAGCTCCCAGCTGTGGGCGCACGTGTGGCTCCGTACCCGTGGCCATCCCCCGAGCTCCCAGCTATGGGCACACGTGTGGTTCCTCACCCTTGCCATCCCCGGAGCTCCCAGCTGTGGGCACACGTGTGGCTCCATACCCGTGGCCATCCCCCGATCTCCCAGCTGTGGGCGCACGTGTGGCTCCGTACCCGTGGCCATCCCCCGAGCTCCCAGCTATGGGCACACCTGTGGCTCCTCACCCTTGCCATCCCCCGAGCTCCCAGCTGTGGGCACACGTGTGGCTCCGTACCCGTGGCCATCCCCCGAGCTCCCAGCTGTGGGCGCACCTGTGGCTCCTCACCCGTGGCCATCCCCCGAGCTCCCAGCTGTGGGCACACGTGTGGCTCCGTACCCGTGGCCATCCCCCGAGCTCCCAGCTGTGGGCGCACCTGTGGCTCCTCACCCGTGGCCATCCCCCGAGCTCCCAGCTGTGGGCGCACCTGTGGCTCCTCACCCTTGCCATCCCCTGAGCTCCCAGCTATGGGCACACGTGTGGCTCCTCACCCTTGCCATCCCCCGAGCTCCCAGCTGTGGGCACACGTGTGGTTCCTCACCCTTGCCATCCCCGGAGCTCCCAGCTGTGGGCACACGTGTGGTTCCTCACCCTTGCCATCCCCGGAGCTCCCAGCTGTGGGCACACGTGTGGTTCCTCACCCTTGCCATCCCCGGAGCTCCCAGCTATGGGCACACGTGTGGTTCCTCACCCTTGCCATCCCCGGAGCTCCCAGCTGTGGGCACACGTGTGGCTCTGTACCCGTGGCCATCCCCCGAGCTCCCAGCTGTGGGCGCACGTGTGGCTCCGTACCCGTGGCCATCCCCCGAGCTCCCAGCTGTGGGCGCACCTGTGGCTCCTCACCCTTGCCATCCCCCGAGCTCCCAGCTGTGGGCGCATGTGTGGCTCCGTACCCGTGGCCATCCCCCGAGCTCCCAGCTGTGGGCACACATGTGGCTCCGTACCCGTGGCCATCCCCCGAGCTCCCAGCTGTGGGCGCACGTGTGGCTCCGTACCCGTGGCCATCCCCCGAGCTCCCAGCTGTGGGCGCACCTGTGGCTCCTCACCCTTGCCATCCCCCGAGCTCCCAGCTGTGGGCACACCTGTGGCTCCTCACCCGTGGCCATCCCCCGAGCTCCCAGCTGTGGGCGCACCTG